AGAAGAATTGTTTTATTGTGTCTTATGAAAATTCCAGTGCTGCCGGAAAGCAAACTAAAGTCCCTCTTCTTAATGCTTGAGAAGATTCGCAATCGTCGTCTTGCCTGTTTCCTGAAGACACCAGCATGCCACAGATCTTGAGTACTGGAAAGCTGGTGATGTGGAAGTGTCTATAGGCAAAAAAGTAATGGGAATGTCTTCTTTCTTTCTAAGGTACAATAAGAACGGAGAAGATCTGAACAGAAATTTTCCTGATGCCTTTGAAAATAACAATGCTAGCATTCAGCCAGAGACTCAAGCAGTAATGAACTGGATAAAAAATGAAACATTTGTTCTTTCAGCAAACTTGCATGGGGGTGCCCTGGTTGCCAGTTACACCTTTGATAATGGTAACTCAGGTAAGCTAGTAACAAACTCTCTTCTCCACAGCTGAATTGGTTTAGAAACATTAGCTGTACCAAAGCAAAATTTATAAGGATTTCTGCAAGGTTTTTCCACCAGGTAGGATGGGCAGACTTTGATAAACCCTGTCAAAATTCACTGCCTGATACAACTATTTGGGAGATGTTTATCCTGTATGTAAGCCAGCACTGTATGTTTTACCAGTAACAAGAGTTACATGATGGCTATCTTTATTCTGCAGTTACCGGCTCTTTGAAAGACTACAGCAGGTCTCCAGATGATGATGTCTTTATTCATCTGGCAAAGACCTATTCTTTCAACCATGCCAGCATGTACAAAGGGACTGGGTGTGGTAACAGACAAACCTTTCCAGAAGGCATTACCAACGGGTATTCTTGGTACCAGCTTGAAGGTAAGAATGTCAGTGATGTTTTTTTCAGCTGCTTCAGATATCATGTTCTCACTTTCTCCTGCCATCTTTGATGAAAGGGCTGTGATTTTGCCCAGAGTAGAGGGTTGATGAAGGGAGTAAGCCAATGCATTCATGTGGATTCTCTGAGCAGGACATGGGTGTTTGCAGACTCTCCCATTCAGCAGTTACACTAGTGAATGAAGCAGTCTCTGCTGTCTGGCTGCTTCTGCGCCCTTTCTTAAGGCCTGCATAGCTGTATAGATTACACACATGCACACGCACTGGTGTGGCTCCAAGGTCTTGTCCTTTCAGAAAGAAAACCAATCTTCTGTTCATATATCATCCTTTTTTTAATGTTTGATTACTGAAATAAATGTTTTCATTACTATTTATGTGTAGCCAAAGAGAATATGGGTCCTGTGTACTGTGGCACTGTGTGTTGCTGTCACAGTCTGAATTCAAAGCCTTAAAAGGCTCTTAGGATGGCTTTAGCAGTAGCACACTCTATGCCAGCCTGTAAATTTATCTGCCCCTGTTTAGTTGGGAGTGCTTGAATGAATTTAAGTCAAAGACCCACCCTTCTTCAGCCATAATAATCATCATTCCCAAAATGCCACTGTGCTTTAGAAAACAACACTCTACGTGTAACTAGAGTAATTAAGTTGGTTTTCCACAGGAGGCAGTAAATCCAAGTGCGGCATTGAGAAATAATTTATCTGATTTACTTTTCTTACAGGTGTGATGCAAGTACCAACATTTTAACTCTCCTATTTTTATTCTAGCTTGAACTTGGTGCTTCTTTGCAGCTGAACACTGTTTGTTTTATTTCACTTTTAAGGTGGAATGCAAGATTACAACTATGTCTGGGGACAATGTTTTGAAATTACATTGGAGCTTTCATGCTGTAAATATCCTCCAGCAGACCAGCTGGAAAAGTTCTGGAGAGACAACAAAGTTGCTCTGATCGAATATATAAAACAAGTACATCTAGGTGGGTATGCGAAAGGGGAAGGGAGCTAAAGCTGAGGCCAGGCTGGTGGGCAAAGTGGGAACTCTTCAGTGGCCTGGCTCAGTGTCAGAGCTCACAGGTGAGGAGCTCTGGCGTGAACTTGGGAGCTATGGCTTCTGAATAGCAAGTGCTACAAGGCCAGGGATGGGTAAGGGAGGAGAGCTTACAGGTGTGTCAGGTGTGGGGCGATGGGCACTACTACAGTGGTGCGAGGGGCTTAAAATGCACTGGGGCAGGAGCAAGGGACAGGCCCCTGGGGCCGTCTTTCCATACCCCTCCTCAGGGAGTCTGCTTTCCTGAGCAGCCTTGGGGCAGTCATGTATTTCAGAGGTCTCTAAACGTGTGGGTGTACATGTGGACAATGTTTCATGGGTCTTTGCTGCTTCGATTTGGTATTTTTGTAAGGCTTTTCTAGGTGTGATCCTGACCTCACAGTTGGAAGAGAGAGCTGCTGCTTAGTGAAGCAGTGGTACTCTACAATGAGTTGAAGGGTTTGCGTAAATCTCTTGCTTATCTTGCTTTTTGTTGCCCAGAATGTCTGACTGCTGTTTTGTCTTTGCTTAATGCCAGTGCTGCCTTGAAGGTGGTGTGTGAGAATTTAGGGAAACTACTTTATAAGCAGACATTGTTGATATTCTGCCATTGGGAAGTACGAGATAAGAGGCTGACTTATTTTAAATTAAAAAAAAACACAAAACCAAAAACAAAAACGCAAAAAATCCCCAAACCAGTACTAAAGATTGAAGCCTTTCAGTAAAAGACACGTACAATAAGTATGTATGATGCTCTCAGCAAATGAAGCAGAGATTACAATGCTGCTTTCTAACTTAATGTGGGTGTAAATATTAACAACAGCAACAAAGGATTCTCTATTTTAATTCCCTTCAGTAAGATAGAAGTGACTAGTGATATTATTAGATGTGCTCGAAATCACTGAAATAGAAATAACCTTTGAGAGCATAGAGCAACAAATGGTCTGACTTTCCCAGAGAAGGAGGCTCACCACAGTTACAGTTGTGATCTTTCTCTCCTCTCCCTTTTTCATAGGTGTCAAGGGTCAAGTTACTGGTAAGAATGGGATTCCTATTCCCAATGCCATCGTGGAAGCCAAAGGCAGGCCTCACATCTGCCCCTACAGAACAAATGAACAAGGGGAGTACTTTCTTCTCCTTTTGCCAGGGACATACGTGATCAACGTAAGTGTGCGGCCTTACTAAATTATTGTTTTGAATTTTACCAAGTTCCTGAGCACAGCAAGACTGCATCCTTGTAGACGAATGAGCTGAACTTGCTGAAGTCGTATACAGGAGCTGTAAAGACTCTTCAGCAGATTTAAAAGAAAATAGTATCTTAAAACATGAGTCAGCAGAAAGGATGTTTTTTTGATACAGTAAGATCTCGAGTCCCCAGAATGTTTAGAGATAAGCACTCATTTGATCTGGATGGTGGAGCCAACTGGGATGAGCATCTGGACCACGGTGACACTAGCCTGAGGTGTTTGAAACAAACCACAGAGCTCTTGAGGGGTGAGGAGCTGGAGGCTGGGATCCACGTAGCCCCAGGCAGCCACGGGCTGACGACGTCATCAGTGACAGTCATTTCCTTGGGTCAAAATGGCTTCTCTGCGGAGGTTGTCAGTAGCTGGTATTAAAGAACACCCATGCAGCGCAGGCTCTGCCAGCTGCCAGCCAAGGGCTTATGCTGAAGCGTAATTGTGGGATTCCCTCTCCTGTACAGCATGTGCTGCACCCCCACTATAAATAAATATTTTGTTTTCATCTTGGTTTTTTTGGGGGGCTTAGTCTTATTGCTGTAACATGAAAAACTTTACTTTTTTCTCATTCCGTGTTCTCAAACTTACAAACACTTTTCCTATATGCTTACAGTGTAAATAGGCACATTAGATAATGATTGTTCCACAGCTGAATTCAACATTTCAAATCAAGTAAGAAATATTTCATGTTTGCTCCTAGGCTACTGTTCCAGGATTTAAATCGATGCTGAAGACATTGGAAATACCCGACAATACTGGTAACTTCAGTGCTTTGAAACACGACTTCTCTTTCCCAGAGGTCTCTGTCGGATCAAGAGCTGCTTCATGTCCCAAAACTCCCCTCTACCAAGAGCTTGAACGGGCTTCAGCTGCAGCAAAACCAACTCTGCATATCTTGGTTTTAATGACCGTTATGCTTCTAGTTTTCAAATAAAGTCAGGAATGACATGACACAGCAAGGCAAAATCTTCCTGCACAAATGTGGCTTTTCAGACAAGGAACTGTATATGCAAAAGAATATATGTTTTTATAAACCAAAGTCTCAGATTTACAATCATGTTTATTGTATTTTGTAAAATACTGGCTCGACAATCAAATGTTTTACTTTAATTATAATAGACTGTCATGTTTTTCTATATAAGTATTTCAGTCTAAAGAAATTTGTACAGCCTATGGAGATAACTATAGAATTTTGATGCAGAAAGTACAAATACATTCTGAAGAAATTTGCCCAAGTTCAAAAAAGTCTTGGATTGTACTGCAAATATTTCATGCAATTCAGGTTCCTCATTGAACCAACAGCTAATGTGCCACACAACTGTAAGCAATTAGCTGAATCCTAATTTCTCCTAATAAAGCCACTACTATAAATGAGGAATGGCATTTTTTACATATGCTTTTTCTTACCTAGACAGGTGAGTGCTCAGGGCTGAAATAAGATAAAGGCCAGGGGCACAGATAGGTTGTAAGACAAAAAGATGGACATGACGTGTAAGCAGGCGCCCAAGGGCCGTGCTGCTGGAAGCTTGGTGATGATCTGTGCCATCAGGCAAAAGAGAGTAACTCGAGTCTCTGAAAACTGTGTTCCTCTAAGACAGAGCTATTGGAAACCATCTAGAAACAGTCATCTACAGCTTTGTGCCGTTGCTTTTGTCCGTTTTTACCGAATTTGGTATGGAACAGAACTGCATACAATTCAGAATTTTTTAATCTGAAGAGTTGTAGCAACGGCTTTGGAGTGTTTAGGTATGTTTCACAGCCCTGTTACTACACTGTGTGGGCCACGTCTAACACAGATGCCAGAAGCTGGCAGGCACACGTGGCAAGGCACAAACCGGCTCCTGTCACAGAGGCTGGTTTCAGGGGCGGCTGAGCTACCCGTCTTCCCCTGGCTGGGCTGTATCGCACGCAGAATGAGCAGATTCCTTTTGCCTGGCCAGCTGCAAATCATTTTCAGGGCCCCCTGAAGCAGTCCAGTAAACAGAAAATTTATCAAGAAAAGCCAGTTAGTACCATCTCCTGTGTTTAAAACTTTATCTGCCAGTAAGTTTCTTAAGCAGTATCACAAGTAACCAGAAGAGATCATCTTTGGAAACATCCTGTGTACAGTAAATAAAATTGCAGG